CGGTCTGACAAAGGGGGTGGGGATGAATCGAGCCTTGGAGAAATTTAAAGGAGCTGCTTCCAAAATGCTTGTCTGTTAAGTGCTGTGTGTGTGTGTGTGTGTGTGTGTGTGTGTGTATGAGAGAGAAAGAAAGAAAGAGAAAGGAAAGAAAGAAAGAAAGGAAGGAAGGAAGGAAGGAAGGAAGGAAGGAAGGAAGGTAGAGAAAGAAAGAAAAAATAGGAAGAGAGAGAGAGATAAAACTCTGTGCTATTATTTTTAATTGTTCCATTATTTATCATGTGTTAATATTTTATACTGTCCCTACACCTAGAGTGATTTTTCTGCCTTTCTTTTGCCCAGGGCTACCACATATTTTTCAGGGTTTACATGCATTCAATAGTCCAGAGCATAAAATACACATGTGTTTAACAAGAGTTGAAAGGGACCTTGGAGATCTTCTAGTCCAACCCCCAGCTCAGGCAAGAAAACTGAGGATGCCAAACTCTGAGTAGAAATCCTGGGAAAGGTATCAGAATAATACTTAGAAGGGACCTTGGGGTGCAGTCTATACCATGTCAGAGAAATGGCTGTCCAGTCTTTTCTGAAAAACTTCCAGCGATTGAGCACCCAGAACTTCTGGAGACAGGCAGTTCCACTGGTTAATTGTTCTCACTGTCTGAAAGTTTCTCCTTAGTTTTAGGTTGCTTCTCTCTGTTCAGTTTCCATCCATTGCTTCCTGTTTACGTTCTGCGTCTTTGGAAGATACATTGTCCTCCTTTCTTTGTGGCAGCCCCTTAAAAGCCTGTTGCCTATCACACTCTTGAGTAAAGCATGTGACCCATTTCCTTCTTTCAGTGGTCTATGAAAGTACATTTATAGTATGTAGATAATAAAGTCAAAAAATGTGAACAACATTTTTACAGAACTATAGATAAGTTGAGGCTGAGTGACAAGGAATGGCTGGGAGGGGAGGGGCCAGGTGAGGCACCCCTTGATGTGAGTGACATTGAGTTGGCCACGCCCAGTCACATGACCACCAAACCATACCCACCCAGTCACATGACCACCAAGCACTCCCACCCAGTCACATGACCACTAAGCCACACCCACCCACCCACATGAGCACAAGCCATGCCCACCAAATAAGCCATGCCCACAGAACTGGTAGTAAAAAAAATTGAATTCCACCACTGCATGATTCCACCCTGCTTACATGCCTGCTTCATCTGTTTCATTCTAGTCTCATACTATCTTCCTTATTGGGAAAATGTATAATTCAACTCAGTATGATTTACTTCCTGAGTTCAAAGATACTGGATTATTTTCTGAGACTAGGGAGAGTTCAAACCTTCTAGCCAATCAAGAGGTTCACTATAAGCTTAACTATTTTATTAGAAACTTACAGGTTAAAATGGGAATCCAGACCATAAACTATGGCTTACTTCTGTTTAGCTGGTATATGAGTTTCAAGAAATAATGGCTATTCTGCTTTCAGTTGTTAAATACCAATTTAAAATTTGTGTGACACAAATCTTCATGCTACAAATAATTGATATATTGTACCTTATTTAATGAATTTGTATTGTGTCTCTCTGCCAAAGGCATTAAAAATCACTACCGTGCTTTACTAATCGCTACACATTCTTTACTAATGAATAGATATTAATAATATTGTCCTATGAGGCAACATTGTTACATGCCTCTGATGGAAAAAGATCATTTTATATCTTTCAATATTATTGGCAGTTTCTTCATTTAAATTATTTCTAAGTTTGAATTTGAAGACTTGGTTTCTTAAGATAATAGTAACTGCAGTATGGGATCTAATCAATTAATGATTATCTAATCATTCATTTCTGTCTGTTCCTATGAATGGAAATTAATTTTCTGTGTTACTATGGTCAGTTTGTCTTCAAATGTCAAAATGAAGTTGTTCTGCTTTTAGCTGCTATGTCAGTTAGTTTCCTTTTATTTTAGAATAGAATAGAATTCTTTACTGGCCAAGTGTGGTTGGACACACAAGGAATTTGTCTTGGTGTAAATACTCTCGGTATACATAAAAGAAAAGATACATTCATCAAGAATCATAAGGTACAACACTTAATAATAGTCATAGGGTACAATAAGCAGTCAAATCATACTAGGAAACAGTCAATATAAATTGTAAGGATACAAGCGACAAAGTTACAGTCATACAGTCACAAGTGGGAGGGGATGAGTGATAAGGAGTGATGAGAAGATTAACAATAATAGTAGTGCAGACTTTGTAATAGTTGAACAGTATTGAGGGAATTATTTGTTTAGCACAGTGATGGCTTTCGGGGAAAAACTGTCCTTGTGTCTAGTTGTTCTCGTGTGCAGTGCTCTGTAGCGTCGTTTTGAGGGAAGGAGTTGAAACAGTTTATGTCCAGGATGTGAGGGGTCTGTAAATATTTCCCCTCTTTTTGACTCTTGCAGTATACAGGTCCTCAATTGAAGACAGGTTGGTAGTAATTGTTTTTTTGTGCTGTCCTTATTATCCTCTGACGTCTATGTCTGTCCTGTTGGGTTGCAGAACCAAATCAGATAGTTATAGAGGTGCAGATGATAGACTCAATAATTCCTCTGTAGAACTGTATCAGCAGCTCCTTGGGCAGTTTGAGCTTTCTGAGTTGGTGCAGAAAGAACATCTTTGTTGTGCTTTTTTGATGACGTTTTTGATGTTGTGTCCATTTTAGGTCATGTGATATAGTAGAACCTAGAAATTTGAAGGTCTCTACTGTTGATACTGTGTTGTCTAGTATTGTAAGAGGTGGTAGTATGGGAAGGTTTCTTCTAAAGTCTACCACCATTTCTACGGTTTTGAGTGTGTTCAGTTCCAGATTGTTCCAGTTACACCCCGAGGCAAGTTGTACAACCTCCTGTCTGTATGCGGATTCGTTGTTGTCTCAAATGAGACCAATCACTGTTGTGTCATCTGCAAACTTCAGTATTTTAACGGATGGATCAGTTGAGATGCAGTCATTGGTATATAGAGAGAAGTGGAGAAAGCACACAGCCTTGGGGGGGGGGGCTGTGCTGATTGTACAGATAACAGATGTGATTCTGCCTAGCTTCACCTGCTGCTCCCTGACTGTTAGGAAGCTTTTGATCCACTTACAAGCGTGTTCAGGTACGGCTAGTTGGTTTAATTTACTTAGAAGAATGTCTGGAATGATGGTATTGAATGCTGAACTGAAGTCTACAAAGAGGACCCTTGCGTAGGTATTTGGAGATTCAAGGTGTTGTAGGATGTAATGCAGAGCCATATTAACAGCACCATCTGTCGATCTATTTGCTCGGTATGCAAACTGCATGGGATCTAACAGCAGATCCGTGATGGTGGGACAGCACAAGCCTTTCAAAGATTTTCATAACTACAGATGTTAGAGCAACTGGTCTGTAGTCATTCAGTTCCCTGATGGAGGGCTTCTTTGGCACTGGGATGATAGTAGAGCGTTTGAAGCAGGAAGGAACATAGCACATCTCTAGTGATCTATTGAAGATTCGGGCCAATTGATCAGCACAGATTTTTAAGCAAGAAGGAGTTATCTTGTCTGGCCCTGGTGCTTTTCCTGGCTTTTTTCTGTGAAATAGATCTTGCACTTCTTTTTCTGTGATCACCAGAGGTTGTGAATCCAATGGGTTGGGGCCAGTTGTAGGAGGCTTGGCTGTTGTTGATGTGTTTGAGATGGGGGTTGTAGGTGGCTGTAGTTTCCTTTCAAACCTGCAGTAAAACACATTCAGGTCATCTGCTAGTTGTTTATTTCCTTCTGCCTGGGAAGGAGGTTTGCTGTAGTTATTTGAAATGACTACTTGCTTGACATAAGAATCTATTACTTTCTGCTTATACTCACCAAATACATTTTCAATAATATATTTATGTATACACCAAAAAGAAATATAGGCTTTAGAATAGCAGCTTTTATTATGTGGTGGCAGATAATTTACAATAACGTGCAAAGTTTTTCAAAGATAGCCAAGCATGCATTCTGATTCAAACAAACCAAGTCAATAATTTGTGCAGAATTTATGACGGTTACAATAAGGCAGATCTTATATAGATAAGAATGTGTGCATTCTTTATTTTCCAATTTGGTTTATAGAATGGCATATGTCAAAAAAAAAAAACTGTTTATCTACTAGCTCCAATTCTGTAGTACAGCATTAGAATTCTGTTTTCAGTTGTTGAGTGGGAAAGGGTTTTTTTAAAAAAATTTCTGGACCAGACTTCTCTAAATAGGAAATTTGATATATAACTCAAGGAGAGTGTAATAAAGCTAAGGCATGCTTCTCTAAATATATATTTTCTTTTACAACAAGAACAGCTTTTGGTTTAATAATTACTAATATTGTACTATAATTTCTTATCTAGTATTATGCATTTATACCTGTGGGTTTTAGTAACTTAGCTTTTTAAAGTCACTTATTACAAGTCAATAAAAATACTTTCCAGTTTTATTACTTTTAAAACCAAGCTTTAATTAAGACATCACTAGTAAAGAGTGCATTTATTCCTAACTTCCACATCAGAAAATTGCAGAAAACACCAGGGGGCATATTGTCCTTTTGATGATGCACCTAATAGAAACTCTTCCTGAGCACTGGGAAAGTAAAATATAACTGCTGTAGCTCTGAACGGTAATGACATTTACTTCCCATGAAAGATAGCTTTTCTTCTAAAGTATTGGGCATATTTTTGTGAAGTTGTTTCTTCTTTTAGTTATAAAAATCTAAAAACCAAAAGCAAAATGCTGCATCAACATTAGTTCAGCTGTTGCTAGTGGGTTATTTCAATCCAGAGATGTTTCATTGAAGCTTATACAATACTAGGCGAACAGGCCTTTAGGAAGAAAAATGCTATACATATAAAAAATAAATACATATTATTTTTTTATTTGAAAAAACCTAACTAACTACATCTAAGATTATATTAAAGTTGATTCTAGAAGTTCAATACATAACCAAGACTTAACTTCAGTTTTTCTTCTTCTCTCCACCAGGATTACACGTTAACAATGTATTTTCAACAATACTGGCGAGATAAAAGACTGGTTTATGCTGGGATTCCTCTCAACCTTACACTCGATAACAGAGTAGCAGATCAACTATGGGTGCCTGATACTTATTTTCTGAATGACAAGAAATCATTTGTGCACGGTGTTACTGTTAAGAATCGAATGATTCGCCTTCATCCAGATGGCACAGTATTATACGGCCTCAGGTTTGTAGCTATGTAATCAAGAATTATTCACTTTTGTATGATATATTGATCATCCCAGGGGGTTGGTACAAGGTTGTTACATTAAATATTAGGTTAGAACATAATATGCATAACATATTATGCATTTCATTGTTTTTTAAAAAGATGTCTCTAGAAACTAAGTAGCATTGTCAATGTTTAATTTTTCAATTGCCAATGAATGTATTGTTCAGAATAAAAGTTACACAAGAGCTGAAAATTTGATTAGACATAGAGAACTACGCAAAAAAAAAAAAAGTCATTTTCTTTTTCTAAGCATAGTAGAAAAACTGTGCCCCTATATGGTTTCTATGTGCATGTGTGAAAAAGAGACTTGGTATTTATGAGAGGCAGCAGGCAATTTTGTCTATTTTTAACTCTGATCCTGTTTGTTGGTAATACAGGTCCTGGAAAATGGCCTGGGTATTGACAGAAAAAAGAGTTTTCTCTTCCAGTTTACATAGCAAGGCCTGCATTAATTAGAGCTTCCATATCTACGCTGTAAATGTGGACAACCAAATAGATGGCAGCTAGGAGATAGAATTTTATGTAACTATAGTAATTGTCTGGATGTTTCAAATCTAAAATATTGTGACTCTTCTCAGTAAAGAGTTTTGTTTTATTATTATTTATTAAATATACAGTGTATGTTAGCTATCTCACTCTGTAAAGCAACTCTGGTTGGCTTAGAATTAAAACCATAATTAATATGGTTTAATATTTAATATAAAATATTAAACATTACATACAGAGATAAATGGAAAACAAGATTGGTACAGCGGTGGCATCTTTTCTGTTAGTCCATCAACCACCTCCAACATAGAATCCCCCATCAGGCTGCAAAGCTAACCCACAGAATCAGGCTTTTAAGGCTTTTCCTGAAGGGCAGCTCCTTTTGATATAAATTTCATTCATTCTTTCCTTAATTGAAATAAAAGCTTCTGTTTGTTTGGAATTGCCCATTATTAATATGAAGGATCAGTATAAAAACAACTTCAGCTTCAGCTTAATGGTTGCTTCCCTCATAAACATTGATAAGTTTGGAATTAAGTAGTAGCACATTTCAGAGAATTAGCCTCAATTTATTTCATGAAATTTGGAGAGTAATTCTTCAAGTGACTAAGTTTAAATGTTAAATTCTTCAAGAACGAAGTTTATCTAGGAAAATTTTGTTTTAATATTTTCATTTTCAAAACCTTTCTCTGCTTATACATTCAACGAGGTCTACATTTGTTCTTGGAAAAGTAGGCTGCATGTGGAATTCATATGAACAAACCTAGAGTTTCACGGGGGGAGCAAATGAGTGCCAAAGTCTTCGCCTCTACAACCAATTTCATGGAAAATGCATTGGGAAGGCAGGAACATAACTATGCCGCCCTATTTAATAGGAGCAATATGAACAAGTAAAATGATTCCTATATGCCTTTCTTCCTGTAGGCACTACATTATTCCAGCCCATTTTACATCAGCATCGTGACCTGATAATAATGTAAATATAGGAGTTCATTCTGTTCTATGGGAATAATGTAATTTCTATCTGCTGGGATTCATCATCTCAGCAGGAGAACTTTTGAATATTAGACTTATATTGATTACGACTGGAACATTACTACTTTGCTATACATTGTAAGGTAGCTTAATTCATCAAAAGGGTTCCAGACTTTCCCCTTACGTTGTACTGAGAATGGGGGGAACTGGGTTTAAGAATGAGGAAGTCTCTCTATTTATTTGTAGTTCATGCAACCCACTGTCCTTGCTGTTGCAACCCTTAGCAAATATTTTGCAACATTTCACTAAGGAAAACTTTATAAACTACTTTCTAATGCTGAATCAAGCAGTTTAATATTTTGTATACTGTTTTACCTCTGCAGAAGTTCAGGCAGCATATTTTCCCAATCTCTGTTGCATAGTTGAACGTGGGAGTTTTTATCTTGAAAATATGTACCATATTATTAGTTTTCCATTTTGTTTTGTTTTTCCCTGATTTTTCCCACTTAACTGTATTTGCTTTGGTGAGTTATACATATCCATTTCCAGTTCTGGTTAAGACAGTGATGAAAAATGTATCATGATGCCACAGTTCTGGTTCCAGTCTTTACTTGCATTGCAATGTTGCACATAAGTACATCAGGTTCCTATCATGACATTATGTCATGCATTTCATCATATGGCAGCCATCCACCTCTTCCTGAAAATAATAATGGACTTAAGTGGTGCTCAACTTGAAAGACATTGTATAACCAATTTAGAATAAATGTTAACATTGGTTTAAGATATAGTATTATATGGATACAAAAGCATGTTAACTAGAAATTCTTTCTAGAATTTAGGCATAGGGTGAGGATATTATGTTAGCCTGCTATTGAATTAGAGTTGTTATCTGACAGGAAAATGACCCCTGACAAGACCATTTTTTTCTTGTATTAATTCCATTATATAATTTTTAAGCCAACAAATTATGCAGAGTGATGTATGAATTGGACCTGTAGAAATCAGTCAAGCATATTGTCTTCCTATCTATCTTGGACAATACTTCTATTAATTGACTTAAATTCACAAAGTAGCTTTGGATTTTCACAAAGTTTGCATACATATGGGCAAAACATTCAGTTGGCTGAAAATCATAGGCCATTTCTAAACAAGTGATTTGGAGCAGTGGTGGGATTCAATTTTTTTTACTACCAGTTCTGTGGGTGTGGCTTGATGGGCGTGGCTATGTGGTCATGTGACTGGGGGGGGGAGACAGAAACTCACTTTCTAGAGAAGGGGATTGGACTAGATGACCTCCAGGTACCTTCCAGCCCTGGATTTCTGTGCTGCTTCAAAGCATCCTCTGAAGCTGCATCTAGTGCCATGGTTTATGGTCCTTCCTTTCTCTCCTTTTTCCCTCCTCCCCTCCCTCCGTCCCTTTCTTTTTTTCTTTTTCTTTTTTTCTTTCTCTTTTTCTTTCTCCCCCCCACTTTCTTTCTCTCATCCCTCCCTCCCTCTTTCTTTCTCTTTCTTTCTTTCTTTTGCCCCATTTTTCGCCTAGTAGGCCTCAGGGAAGCACTGAAAAAATAAACATTTTGAAGCAAGCGGGGTGATCAGCTGTGCCATATGATTTAAATTAGCTAGAAAGGAAGAAATCCAGTGATTTCCTGCTTTCTAGCTAATCTAAATCATGCAGCACAGCTGATGGTCACCCAGCTGATAGTCGGAAATACCAGTTTAGCCAAACTGGTAGCAGTTTTTATTACTGGTTTGGCACCACTGATTTGGAGATATAATTTCAATTTTAAGTAGGATTTTTAAATATATATTTTTCAAGCCATACCATACTAACGCCCTGTTTTTCATTAGCCCTCTGTACCATATGAAATTAACTACATTTATTATAAAATTTACAAATTGTGGCTTGTGATTTCCCCACTATATTTGCGAATTCTATTCATGTACATGTATTATTGGAAGTCATACTATACCAAAAAAACAACAGCATTCCAGAATGGTTTTGTGTTATTTTATTTACCAATAATTCATTCTAAACACATAAATACAGGAATGTATTTATAGAAAAGTGTATTGTAAGTGTTGTAACAATCACATTATTACAGTTAATAAGTTAAAGTTATTATTTAACTATAATTCACTTGGGGATAATTGTTGCTATGATGCATGTAAAATAAAATTAAAAACATATCTTTATTACTCAGCACTCGGCAAGGGAAGAATTCTATTCTGTTTAAAATATGTTTCCCAATATATTATTGTTTTCTTTCTATCCAAACCACTTTTAACGTAATGGAACTCTGTGACATATTACACCTGAAGTTTCAGGTATTTTATTGTCTTTTATGCCCATGCTGTTTTAACAACTAAGATGCTTTTGTTCCCCCTCAAATTCACATTCTTCTTCCTCAATAAAAGTGTAATTTGTTATTCTTTTTGTCATTGAAATTGGTTCTGCAAAGTACAAGTCATACCTTCTTAGCTTATTTTGTTTATCTTATCTTACTTTATTTTAGCTTATTTTTTTGGAGGTGATCAATTAAATTACCTCCACTCTCAGCTCATAACTGGCAATTACAGAGATTTGATGGCTGGCCAGTAGATTAGTAAAATAAAAAGTAGAATAGTCATCTTGGCCATTTTTAGGATACCCAAGACACTTTTTAATGTGATGGAGTCCATGACTAAACGTAGTCTACAACATTTATTTACTTTTGAAAGTTCACACCTCTGGGATTTCAGGACTAAAGAATTGAAATATCTGATAATGTCACATCAAGAGTTGCAAATTTTAAAATCTTAAACTGGTTTCAATAGATTTGAGATTACAGTTGATTAAAACTGTATTTCAAGTTTATAGAAGTCCACAAAAAACCATACAATTTCCTTTGTTGGAGATATAAAAATATTACAGATACATTAACTCATACGATGTGGTCTTGTGAATCACTTGCATTTTTTTGGAATATTATTCTGTGTGTGTGTGTGTGTGTGTGTGTGTGTGTGTGTGTGTGATATTCCATATAATATTTATATGGGAATCCCACAGTAATAAAGATATTATTTATTTATTTATTTATTTATTTATTTATTTGTTTGTTTGTTTGTTTGTTTGTTTGTTTATTTATTTATTTAATATTCATATTTCTAGAACGCCTCTTTCCCTCAAGAAGCAGTCTGGGTAATGAGTTAATATTTTATTGAATTGTATTTTAAAATCTAAAACCTGAGTATCTTTGAAGAATCATTGTTATACCAAAGGGTTGCCTAAAATTATCTGGAGAAATTGAAAAACTGACATTATTCCACGTACTAAAGATTGGATTATGGAAATAAGCAATTTTTCTATTTTTGAAAAGAATGTTTATTCTAAAGTAATTAGAAAATGAAACATTATGTTTATCTTTGGCATGGATTTAATGATATCTTAAAAAATTGAGTATTATGTTTTTTTTTCCTATTGAATAATAAGAGATTACTATAATATATTTTTT